CCTCGCGCCGGTAGCGCACGCGACCGCACAGCCCCAGGCCGCGCGGGGACGCCCTCGCGTGCTGGCCGTGGGCCTCTGCGCCGGCGGAGCGCGGCCGCCGGGGGCGCGAAGGCTCCGAGCCCCGCGAAGGATCCGCCTGCGAGCACTCGGCCGCCTGCGCGCAGCGCTGCGCGCGGAAGCTCACTAGCAGGGACTCTCAATACTTCGAAAAAGGTGTAATTCAAACATTCAAGCCAAGCGGCAAATAATTTCCGTTAGATTTTTAAATCTGTTAATAAAATAGAATAATTTCTCTATTAAAAGTTTAATGCAGCGTTCCAATGAAAAATAACACACATTGACTGTGCATAAGTGACAACTTTGCAAGTCAAGTGAACACATCTGTTTAGAAAATAAAAGTTTGTTTCCTCAATTCACCTGTTTGTAGAGAATTGAAGCACTTTTTCTTAAGCTGCGATATAAGTTTCAAAAATAAAATTATACAAGATTCATTATTCCAGAGTTAAGTGACGTTGCGTGACGATAAGATAAACTGGGGTGTTCACACATAGGTTGCGAAATTAATTCAAATTTGGCGCCATACTGGGAATTCAGTCATTTATAACAATTATTTGGCTCTAATTTATGGCAAATACCATACATTTCAAACATTCATCACCGGAGGCTTATTTTTTCCACAAAATACCCAAATAACTTCGAAAGAGAATGGGAATTTCTTGTATCAAAGAAAGGAAGAATTTCTTGTATGAAACTCTTTGAAACTAACTTTGAACCGATATCAAAAATGTTCTAGAGATCGCGCCAACAACCAACTCGTCGCACATGTGCCTGGCACATTGTCGGCAGTTTCCCAGAATCAAACGCCTTTCTATTTAAGACACAAATAGATCGCATAGTATCAAGACTGCAGTCTAGCTGGCTAATGGCGGATGGCATCGCTTGTGAGAAAATGAATTGAATACGCCCGTATCGTGTGCAATGAATTACAATGCAAGGTTGTTACTGTTCCAAAGGTGAATGTGATTGCATTTTCCGTGCAAGGTGCCATGTAATGCGTGAGAAACAGCGTTGGCTGGCTGACGAAAATACTCAAGAAAACGCTTTCCTTGTGCCCAGACGAAGGTTATGGTGACTATTTCTTCAATACTCAATTGTCGTCACGCAGAGACATTTTAAAAGTCTTTCGGCAAATCCCCCCTTCGATCACAACGCAAGCAGGCGAATATTAGAATGACCTCACGAGAGTGTACGTCACAATGTACAAGTTACTTGGCTTACATGACGTAACGTAGTCTTTGTGTGCTGACGCAGACTTACAACTTACTGGTGACAATACCAGTTATAGAATATTGAAAGTAAACGAATTTTTACGTCCAAGATTCTCATAAAATAAATCATACAAATCGTAAATCGATAAAAATCTCCACAAATTATAACAGTTACATAATTATGAATCACATATTCCGTGACATCTGCATTGTCTGCCTATGTCTCTTTCTGTATCTGTCTCTCCCGGGCATTATTTCACAATCAAAGGGGCAGACAAAGTGCTGCTGATTGCATTATAGCGCCGTTGCGAAGTGAGCCTGAACAGGGGCGCTTGGGCCAGCATAAAATCGTCATCAAGGCACATTTACGTACACAGATATACACATTCCCTTCATACTAATTTGTTATAAAAATGTTTCAGTGGTTTAAAATATTTCTATGAACAATTTTTTTGTCATTCCCTCTGCTCGAGAATAGACAAGCATACAATTTTGTTTAAAATTTCTTTTGGTCGCAAACTTGCATACACAAAAGAATGCAACATGAAGTACCCGCCGGAGGTACCACACTAAGCTAGTTCTGAGTAATTATTTACTTAAGAAGATGTAATTTTTTCCATCGTTCACGATCGTGTGACTTCTTTGATTATCTATTGCGAACCGCAAACTGTTTTAACACGTAGATGATTATTAGTACATGACATAACACTTTCGTCACACGTGTACATAGCATCTCTAGGAATATTAATTGGCCGAGAACCTGACATGATAGTAAGTTGAGAACTTACAAGATACCTGAGAGATTATGCAAATCTTCTACCAACATACCCGCCTCCAGTGCGACAACAAACGCTAAGTAACATCTAAGATCACATTATACTCTACTACATACTTGAAGAATATAAAATTCAATAAATACTTTTTCCATGAACAGTTACATTGTGTGGTGATTTTTATTTTCCTTTCCTTATAAAGGTACTTCGAAAGAAAAGAAAGTTATGTAATTTTGTGCCGGAAAACTGCGGATTTTCGGCAGAAAAACCCGTAGAGCCTCGCCCTGATAGCAAACAAGTGGATTAATCCTGTTGCTATAAAGAAAATTACTTTCTCTAAGAAGTGGTGTAGCCAGAATCCATTTTTTCAGGGTCTTTGATAACGAAAAATGCATTGATGGAAAAATGCCCGTCTGTTCGTCCGTCCGTCTGTGGTCAACTCTAGCGCTGTTCAGCTGATTTTCTCTAAAACTATTATTCCTCTATCAATCTGAACTCATTCGAGACTTTGGGAGTATGAAATGAATATTGTGTTTTATAGCGTACTTTACACAAAGTCTCAAAATCATTTTTAAATTTTCGCAAAAATAAATTCAAATTTATATGTAATTTCCTCGCATATCGTGAAGCACGCTTATGAGAATAATGTAGGTCTCATGTTCGGTGAAATCCCACATTTTAAAAAATTAAACTGCAAGTATTTTGGCAGTTTTCCTATAACTACACTATTTTACGTATATTTTTTAAAATGTGGGATTAAAATCTGTTTTTTAAAGATATTTTGAAATAATTTTATGTTCATTTTTTTAGCAAATATGGATAGTTTTCGTGTAATTTTGCGAGAAGTACAGTCGATTCTGGTTATAGTGAAGTTCTGGGTACTAACATTTTTGGTTCACTGTATCAGAGGTTCTTTATATCCGGCAATGTCAACGTGTCTGGTAACGACTGATTTTTCAGACATTTAAAGACAGCGAAATATAGAGATAACAAGATAAACTGAAAATTTCAATACATGTGTGTCCTTAAAAAACGAATTATTTTGTTATAATGCAGTTGTTCACACCCTTCAATGCCTCTTGCACTATCCTACACTGCGAAGGACATTTTACTCGTCTAATAGCATACGAGATGCTTTCGGTAGCGGGATGGCGCAAACGACTAATGAAATTGATCGCTTTTTCGCGCTTCGCGGCGGATTTCGCCAGGCTGAGGCAGTTGGCCGATGGTATTTCCTTCAGGCTGCTGAGTTGGAATTAGTAGCAATGTATCGCTAAATTCTTTTCCTGGAGGTAATTAATTTCCTGGACGTGGAGAATCCTACGTTCATTATAGCCGAAGTTTAGGTTCACTATAACCGAATCTTCTTATGCTTATATTTAATGTAAGTGAAACGCGACCAGTGTTCACTGTAGTGAACTAAAGGTTCACTATAACCGAGGGTTCACAATATCCGAGTTTACTAAAACCGACGTCGACTGTGCAGCCAATTAAATAATTAAACAATATTTTTCTCCACACCGCTCAAAATGTTAAAGGTTTTTTTTCTCATATGAAATAAAACATGCCAAAAACCAGATGCAAATTGCTTTCTCGGCGAACGCACTGACCCTTCATTATTTTCAAAATCTTAACATTTCGAAAATAAAGATATACATTTTTGCCTCAGAGAAAGTCTGTTGTAAACCGTTTGCTCTTCTGAAAAGATCACGTACAGTTTACTGAGAAAACTAGTAGTTTTTGCGAAATTTGCTCTTCAAATTACTGCAATTTCTAAAATACTTATTTTCTCAAAATCAGATTCAAAATTATTGTTTAACTTTTTTACACTGAAAAATACGTAGTATAGAGAAAGTTATACAATTCTTCGGAAAATCGAATTCGCGATTTCAACGGAAATACACGCAAAATGTGGATGTTTGTTGTTTAAATGATTTTATGGATTCCATTGACTTCTCTTGAACTCGACCCACTTTAAGATGTGCTGCATAATTTGCGCCAGTTTGCTCTTTGTCGGTAATTTGTGCGAACTTATGGTTTAGGAATATAGTCTTGGAAATTTATAATTATTAGATTCATTTGATTAATGCTGGTTAATATAGGGATGTGTGATGCATTTTCTAAAAGATGATTTTGCAGCAAATATTTGGTTGTGGATTGTGAGACCAAGTCTCATTGTGGGTTATAGAGCTAATGAAGTCCTCGAAGCTGTATTCACAAAAACCTTTTATTAATGAAATATTTTGTAAAAAAACTTGCGCATATCACAAATATTCCATGTTTCTCAAATTTATTAATGTTCCACTTCAATGAACGTGTAAAACTGCTCTAGTAATTTTTTGAAAAGTGTACGTCTCTAAACTAAGTGAAACGGTACAATTATTCTTTTTCTCCAAAACAATTATTTGACCTATTTCATACTTCCATCACATTACTGAAAGTATGATTTCATCTTTCCTACGTAACAAACCCTCATGTACGCTGATCATTATATAATCTAAAGAGGTGTTTGTTTATTTCGTGTATTTTTCAATAACGTTCAGGCAGAAGAACTTATATGCATGAAGCCCTTTTCTAATTACCGATTCAATTCTTCATTTGACTTTCTTTATTACGTTTCTCAGGCGCCCTAGACATTTTTGGCATAACTGGAATGAATTGTATAACGTTTGAGTGATGATGATGATGATGATGATGATGATGACTTATAGGATTTGAATGATGGAGCAGTGGTGAAATGAAAGTGGGAGAAGCGCGAGAAAACCGGGAGTCAGCTTTGACTGAAATTGCGTCTCCCCAGCAGTGGCAGGCGGAGGTCCGTCGGTGACACGTGACGGCGTACCTTTGCGTGGGCGTGGGCGTGGGCGTGTGTGTGGGGGTGGGGGTGGGCGTGGTCGCGGGCGCTGTCGCTGCGCGAGTGCGTCCGATGTCTCCTCGAGTGCCGCGACGCCGGCGGCACCTCGCTAGGCTTTTCCGCCTCCTCGGCCGCCGCCGCCACCGCCTGGCGCTCCAAAGACGCCCTTGGCCCGGCTGCCCCCGCGTCGCCCTCGTCTGATGATAGCGGCCGGGAGGCAGCTGACGGCGGGCGCTCCCTTTGGAGAAAGAGACATTAGTAAAACAAGCAACACACACAGTCCTAGTTGCTACTAGCATGGCAAAGTATCTTTATTTCATCTAATATTAGTCAATTACAGAAGTCTGTTTTTATATTCTTTATTATATTTTTATTTCGTAGTACATGGGTTTTACACTTTTATAATAGAAATAAGCGTATGGTGGTTTACGTTCTAGCATTAGGAAGCTGAAAAATCGAGGAAATGTGAAAAAAGTGTCCTTTGGCCGACTAAAGAAGATATCTGGGAAGAGAATGTCACAACTGAAATCCTAGCTCAGACTAATGAGATCAGAAAACAAAATACTGCGAGAAAGTGTGAGCCATTCTATAGCACCACTAGTTTATTTATTTTTTTATTTATTTACATAGCTAATTTTTTACATTAAACATTTTCTGTGGCAAAAAAATCTTCAATTTTGTGGTTTTGAATGTTTTTGCTATTTCCTAAAAAACTGGCAATGTCCGAAAATGCGACTAGCACCACATTTCATATTGTCCTTTATTATATATGCGGAGAAAAGTTTAAGAAAAAAATTGGAGCTGTTTTTGAGAAATAAATTGGTTAATTTGAAACACAAGATACGCAAAAATGTCTCGTTTTTTCAAAAATTGTACATGACCCTTTTTTTAAAGAGCTTATTTTGTACAACAGTCTTTCTCTGGGGCGGGCGGGCGGGGGGGCGGCCGCGTACCGGTGTGTGCGAGCGCACGGCGAGGCGGCGGGGCGCTGCGCCGTTGCTCGGCCAGAAGGGGTCGGGCTGGTAGCCGCAGGCGGCGACGGCAGCGCGGGCGGCGGCGCGCTCGGCAGGCGCCAGGGGTCCTCGGCCGTCCAGAAGCTCGCCCCGCCCCCGGCGCCCCCGCGCCGGGGCCGACGCCAGCGCCCCTGCCGGCCGCGGCGGCGCGCTGCGTGCCGTCGCTCATCACCACGTACCGCAACTGCGCGCGAAGACAGCACATCACTCACTCACTCTCCTACTTTGGCATGCACTTGATATTCTCCACATAATACCAAAACCATTTACTTTCAAATATACGTGTCTATTTTGGATGTTTCATGAATTTTCTCTGTCAGAATTATTGCTGTCAAAATGAAGCTTTCTGTGCTTCTTGAAATCTGTCCTTATATGGACGTGGTTTTTGTATTTAATGATTCGCCGGATGTTTTTCTGACCTGCGGCGCGGCGCGCGCGGCCGCCTCCCCGTCCGCGCCTCCGCCTAAGCCGCCCGCTCGCTCCGCCGGCCCAAGTGGCCCCCCGCGCCGAGCCACCTGCGCCGCGCTCATACCGCTCGCCCCGGACGCACGCACCCACGCACGCAGGCGCGCGCTACCAGCCGCTGCACGCGCTGCCTGCGCATCATAGCAACGCTCTGCCCAATGTCTTTTTATTGCTTTGTCCAGCGCATGGGCTCTGGAAAGGGAACAGGGGCGGACAGGACCGGACAGGACCGGATTTGCATGTTATTACATATTTGTTATCTTTCTACTTATCGGTCTAAATATATTAATTTTGGCGAATCGTCGCCATCCTGACAAAATATTAAAATTTTCTGTTAAACACTTTTACATATTACTATATTAAGTTTTAAACACATTTTGCTATTTTTACAAAACATATTTTTATTCATTCATTTTTTTCATTTTTTTAAGACATATTTTTATGAAAACAAATATTGAAAAAAACATTTCCTACGTCATTACTGCGTACGGTCTACTCAAGGTTCGCTTCATGCAGACACGGTAGGATGTTCTCACAGTTCCGCTGCATCGGTTATCTCATTGACGACACCTCTCCTGAACTTTCACCTTAAATTTCCGAGAAACTTTGACGATCGCCGACATGTAACACTTCGCTGAGTATACTGCAAGCTGCAATGATTACTTGCTGGTCGTAGACGTATTAAATGGTCGTAGATATTGTTTGCTGGTCGTAGGTTGGTTTTATTGTGTCTAGTCTGACTGTAAAACATTCGTATTGAATAGTACTAGATGAAGGTTTTACAACTGACGGGAAAGTTGTATGGTACAAAGCATGCATCAGTTTGTACTCTTCAAATTATTTTTTGAAAAACTTATTGGTTTTGTATTATTTTTAAAATTTATCTCGTTTTCTTATAAATGTAATTTTGTATTATGTTTTATAAAAGTGAATTTTAATATAACATATTTTATCCTATTTACATCTGCATTACATATTGTTACTGTTTTATTTAAAATTTTATGTACATATTTTGACGATTTATACTACATATTTTTCCGGTCTCTCTTCATTACGATCGCGTCTAACAGGATTCGATCTGTAAGTATAATGCATATTATAGCTCGATATATGGTGATAATCCTTCCTCGCTGAAACGTGAGATCTACGCAGAGCTACATATTGACTTGCAAGTTTTTCTCTCCCTCGGTATCGCTCCAGCGGACTACCGTCTCAGAATGGACAAGTTCCAAGCTCTCGACTAGTATTAGAGCAGTGCTTGTAAATGTATGTTTAAAGGGAATGGGGACAAAGGTAAGGAAGGAAAGAGAGCACTAGGGGCATACTCCGTTTGTTCCAGTATAGCTGCGGCATTCCCTTGATATAATTGAGGGAAAACCGGTAGAAGTGCCATGTATACACGAAAATCAAATATTTATTAAAACTTTTACTAATTATACAATAAAATACTTTTTTTGCGATCTGTTTTTTTCATAAATTTCAGGAAAATTATTTCACAATATCTTGAGGAAGGAGGGCAAGTCGCAAATGGCTGCGCAGTATAATGATTGAAGTCGGGAAATGGGAAACATTTGTGAGCAAAATTTTCATATTTCACCCCTTAATGTGGATGAAAATCGATTCCAATGAATATCAAAGTGTGGATGTTCCTTCAGTAAGCCGTATCTCGAATGCTAATAGCAGCGAGTAATAGAATTTGTCACTCTTAGAGTTTCCCTGGCCAGTCTTCAATTTCTTGCAATTAAATAATATAATAAATATGCGAATTACTATATTCACTGAAATGGTGCCAGTACGTTGTCACTGTAGTAAGAAAAAAATATGACTCGCAATTTCTTTAAACAATGTTAAGATCAACATATTACAATGTTGTTGTTTTTTTGTGATCGATGCAAAGTTTTTGAATCATTAGGATTGCTAGCCTGAAATGTTTATTAATGCATTACGCCTAAGGAGTTACTAAACCTGACCCCATTACCTTTACTCTTTGATCATATGTTATTGTTTCGTTGAGTTGGCAGCACCGATGTCGCCGCGACCGGCGTTTGTTTTCCTTTTGTTTCTCAGTTCACGACGAGACGCCGCGTCTCTACTTCCATGTATCTTGCGTGTCTTTGTTTCTCAGAGTAATAAACTTTATTTCTGAAGAATCATTTTCATTTCCCCCTCAATACATTAATGGGCGACAAGGATAAAAGACGATTGAAAAGTGCAAGTTTTTAAAAGTGCAAACGCGAGCTCTAAAAGTGGTTTGCGACACGGGGACTGCAACAAGGACATGACAATCTATGCAAGTGGCAAATATAATGTTGGAGCCAACGTGAACGTATACGGCAATATTAGTTTCATGGCAGAGTTTTAACATTGGGAACGATTGGAAAATGTATCAGGAGCATCTCGAGCAATATTTTGAAGCAAATTGTGTAGCTGGAGTGTGAAAAATTCCAGAACTACTGAATCTTATCGGGACAGAAACGTACAAAATTCTGCGTGATTAATGTGATCCTGTCCTTCCAAAAATGAAAAGATCTGTTGAGTTGGGCGGACTTCTTAAAAAAGTACGGACTTCTTAAGTTTTCGCCAAGAGTTTGTGTTCAAGAAACGGATAGAATTTTATGAGCAGAAACATGTGCCACAGGAGTCGATCAGCCAATGGTACGCAGAATCAAAAGCGAATCCATCAATTGCAAGTTCCGCAACCAGTTGGAAGACAAGCTGAACGATAAATTCGTCACAGGGGTTCTCAAATGTTTGCGGTAATCTTCGAGTCGGCGCTAAAGAAGGAAGCTTCGCTTTCTTCAGCGTCAGCCATCGCAGTCAACAGGGTGGATGCCAAGGCAACAGGAGGCGGGCAGCGACGGCAGATTGAGAAGGAGAAGCACCCCCGTCGACCAATCAGAGGGAGCCAAGTGAGAGGCAGCAGATTAATCTACGTTAAACGTGTGGCAAACCAAGTCATAATTTTGCAGTGTATAATTATATCGGGAGTATCGTTGCAAAAACTGCCATATCATAGATCATTTAGCGCGCGTATGTTATAAGGTCGATAAAGAGAACGATACTTCACGAGATGCTAAAACTCACTTCATGCAAAATGATTCGGAAACTGATGTTAATGAACCAAATTTCAAATATATTGACATGCGAAATTTAGAGGGCAATATGTCAACAAAACAATTTTTACTTTCCCGTATACGTATGTATATACGTATATGTATATGTATAGGGAAAGTTATGTAATGCTGCGGAAAATCAATTACGACCTAAATACACGTTTTGGGGTCCCCTGTTACCGAAAAAGTGTTTTTTTTCAAAACGTCTGTTTGTTCGTCCGTTAGGTGTCAGTGAACACTTCTATCGACTAAACACTGGTAGGATTTTTTTCCAAGTTGAAGAAATCTGTGACGATATGGCTCGAATTAATTATGTGAGGTTTAAAAAAAATGTTTAAAATTTTGGAGCACTTTACTTGAAACCCCCCGGACATTTTCAAAATTTTCTCAAAATCAGCTCCAAATTTTTTCTTTAAGTTTCTTGTAAGACTAGAGCAATATCAAAGTGACAAAGGTCCGATTTTCATGGTTAATTCTGATTTTTTTAAAATTTCAAAAGTACGTAAGTTCAAAAGTAAATAGGAATTTTTTCGATGTCGTCCGACAACTACGAGTACAGATAGAGATGTTTCCTTCAAATAAATTTTGTTCTCAATAGTGAGTTCTTTTATTAAGGTCATGAACATTTTTTTGAAAAATTTCGGGCAATATTGCGTGCAGTATGTGCAACTTAAATAATTACAAAACGAAGATATTCTCTAAACCGGCTCCAAATTGTGTCTTTAAACTTTTGGTGGGGATGATACTAAATATACTATATCATATGACTTAAATATTTTGTTGACTTGTCTCTCACGTTGTTAATATTTACACTAGCGACAATTTGTTCACCTTATTATATTTATGAGTACATGTGCTTGAAATAATGGCTGACAAACTGTCTCGAAAACTCAACCGCTTTCTATAAAAACTAGCTCAAAATTCCGCATTTTCAGAAACGCTCAAACGCCATTTTTTAAAAAACGGCTTCAATTTTTTCCAAACATTTCGAACTGATAGTGTTAATTTCACCCTTTAATGTGACGTAAAGTTAATTTCGGTATATTTTTTTTGTTTTTCTAAAAGTTACACAAATTTAATTTTTTTGAAAGATCTGTCACGTCGTTGATATGCACATTTCCAGCAATTTGTAAACATTACTGTATTTGTGTGCTAAAGTACTTAAAATCGCTTCATTTGACGTTTTTGGAAAATTTAGAATTTACAGTAGCGCCTAAACGCCTGTTTTTTATAAAAACGGCTCCAAATTTTTCAAAGAAATTTGTCATTTAGGACGAGATTTTACTGTTCTATAATAATCTTAAAATAATATTTCCGCACTACAATTAAGAAACCGAAAAATTAAGAAATTGTCAAAAAATATACTTTGGGCTGTGATAGATAGCAGCTGGCAAGAGTATGTGTCAAATTCATGTAACTAGCAGAGACTAAAGGAAATAGAAAACTAATTCGAGAATAATCTGTGCGATTCTGTAGCACCGCTCGTTTATTAACGTCAAAGTCCAATGTGGTCCAATATTCAAGTGGAAATCAATTCGGGAGCTGGTGCATCGATTATTTCAAAAACGCTTTTTGACAACTAATTTAAAAATGGTAGATTCGAACCAACTTGAGTAAGATTACTCGGGTACGATGGGGACGTTATTGCACCGGGAGATCAAATATTAGTACCGATCGAGTAAGAAAGGCAAATCACCAACGCGAGGTTTGTTGTTATGAGAAAGCATAACCGACCACTCTTAGGAAGCGATTTAATGGAAGGTCTTTCATTAAATACAGCCAAAGTGAATTCGCTGAGCACGGGTACGACAGAGTTGAAAGTGTTGTTATCTACGCACTCAGGGCTATTCGGAGAAGAAATGAGCCACTAGGTTCGGTTTCACCAACCGGAGTCAAGAAGATGATCCTGAGTTGATCCGTGTCAACTTCAGTTGTAAGTTTTTCCACGCACTTGATACGAACAGTGTGTCTGACCTGCGTCAAATTCTACTCACTAATGGATCCGTCCCCACCCGGCGGAACTAAGTCGGATCAGGAGTCATTTCTCACTTAGATCGCAGCAACTGCTCTTCTATTTCATTTGTACATATATTTTAAGTAAATGCCTGTAATTCGACTTAGATTCAGTTTAGAAGTATTCGCTAACAAGTAGGTTTGCGCGTAATTGTTTGTAGGGCAAATGTGTTTTCAAGAGAGTACTGCACTAACACAATTATAGGTTAGAATTGTCGGTATTAGGGAGACGTCGTGTCGCTACATCCACGTATCTGGCAAGTATTTGTTTCTCAGTGTAATAAACATTGTTTTTGAATAACCATGTTTATTTCCGCCAGAATACATTACAATACAGTAGTGAGAGGAAGTGGTACTGTCGCGACTTTTTTGGCACGCGTAATAATGTCATTGTGCATTTTCCGGGGAAAATTGTCAAGTGAATGAAGTGCTATTTGAACTTGCTTATGTAAACATTAATCTGTTCAAAATCAGAGGTAACATTGACATAATAGTCACGTACACACTATTTTTCTCTCTACATATACAGGAAACTTTTTATTGGTAAGCTTACGGAAACTTTTTAGCTTATTATACATTGTTCACAACAAACTTGTTGTATGCGGAAATATGGATAAATGTATTCTAGATTTTACAAAACCGAGAGTTATATGAAATAAAATATACTAAGAGGCAATTTTATATTTCAATTATATTTCATTTTCACCCAGGTATTTAATTTTTTATTTACAAGATATGCACGTATGTTTTTAAAACACATTTTAAGCAAGATTATTGATATTATTAAGTATTCAAATACAAATTAGCTGACCGTTTATCTAATTACTTATTATTTTTTTAAATTTTGTAATGCTTGATAAAATTTCACAAAGAAGTGACTATGTTATTAGGGTTTAAAATTAACTTATTTTCTAACTACATGTTTGAATACATTATCACGACATATTTTTTTGCATTTAAGAAATAAATTCTACTCACAGGCAAATATGTAGTCTAATTTCAAATCTCTTCTTTGGAAGCCATCGTACGCCATTCAAGTGTCAATAATTTCATACAGGAATAAAGAACTGGATTAAAATACTGAAAAAAATAACGTCGTAAAATAATATAGGAATTGCAATGACAGAGAAATGTCACATTTGGAACAATACCTTACCTTAGTGCAACGCGCGGGTTGAATTCGGAACGGGAACCAAATGGCCGGAACAACTAATGTTATTAGAGCAACACGTGTCTCTTCTTTTTCGTTGCTACGCTCTGAAAACAATATATCTGTAAACAATAACTTCTTGATAATTTAATTTCCTTGGCAATATTGAATTGTGAAATACTTTCCTTGATATCGCCAGAACATTTTCATACAGGTCGTACAACATTAACAACTTGAAGTTCAACACTTGACTGTTCTATTGGTACTTAAAAGTCTAAACCCTATTTGCTTGAAAAACACAGACTCAAACTATAACGTCTATCGTATTCTGGGAATAGAAATTAGTTTTACTTTTTCACTACAACTAATTTTCGCGAACTATTGAAACTCTAGGTGTCAGCATGTACTGTATATTTCAATGTAACGACTGTGACTAGATTATACTACCCAAAGTGTAGTATTACCTAGATACACATGTAGCGCTAGTGTAGGGTCACAAATTGTAGGCAGATCCCTGCGCAATACTGGCGATTGGTTCCCTAGCAGGTGCTGACCAGTGATCTCAACATTTTAGCTCCATTTACAATTGCAATGCGTCGAGGTGCAGAAAATTGTGACCATCATTTTCCTTAGGTTGGCTGCGGTGAATGTGTAGTATACATTACATACGTAGTTTAGTACCTAAGAATAATACCTACTTTCATACAAGTTAAATATGAATTGTGTGTTGTAAATGTGCTTACAGTCGTCTCTATTAACAAAAATTCCGAAATATTGGGTAACATTCGCTTGTAAAGAACGCCAGCAAAGTGTAAACTAAATGCGAATATTATGAGATGAGATATTATTCGGTAGCCATTATTTAAAAAATATATTTGTAGGTTTCCGACAACTGTTAATATTTGCTTTAATTTAATCTAACGAAATTATTAAAAATACGCTTGCCTGCGTGAATTTAAAAAAATTCCAAGTAATGAAATACTGGATTTTGTTAAATTATTGCAGGTAAATTGCAATTTCAAAGTATTAAAAATTGATTTTCAACTTTTTATTAAGTTTTAGTTATTATAAAACAGTATTTTCTAAAAATTTGGAATAAGACGCGCTTCCTGCTATTTGGTTCTGGGATAATGAGAACAGAATAGAAGTTCACCATCATTACGGACAGTCATGATTTCTGAGCAAAGAATGTTGTCTCCAGTCTACCCTAGAGATCACGGGTGCTGACAGGCGTGATGCGTGTCCGTACATAACGAGAGTTGTATTTCCTATGCAAATTATTACTTTGCAGTGCTTTTGTCTTACTATCCAAAGACAATATTATTTATGCTTCAATAAAAATATACAATGAGCGCTTCATGATTCTGCGACCTGAATGCTGAAATGAAGCAGTATTCGGGTTTTGAGAAGCAAACATAAAAAACTCAAATGATAAAACCAAGACAGGTTTCATTTAGTAACATATAAGAGTATCTTCTCTATTTGAAACGTATACTTTAATTTGGACCTACCATATCTGCACTTTGAATATGAAAATATAAATATACTTTATAAATATTAATTATTTTATTCATTTGCAAACTTACTCAAATTATTAAACTAGTGGAGTTACAACAAAACGTAGTGTCTTACGATATTGCTACCCTTGGCAAAAAATTCATGTTCTGAAAAGCTGTAGAGGTCTGAAAAGCTGCTGTGCACTAAGTGTTTTTCACATGGTGCACTGCTCCTGTCCTTTGCCGTACAGTAGTCCCCTTCTCTTGTACAGTTAGTTTGAAACCTTTTGTACTCATAACGAACACAACGTGAACCCTTCGACATCCTTTACACACCCTCTTCTCCTCTATTGAAGGCACTCAAAATACATTTCAACGACGCACAGATTTCATTATACATGTATGGACTGTTAAATCTCCTGCATGCTGCACATATTGCTCACACATTCATTTTTAGTCATTTTTAGTCCACATTAATTTGTTTACGTACATCACGTAACGTGATGAAGTAGTTCATGTGTGAGACACACCACGCGATCCAGAACCCAAGCACCATAATCCGGGAACACGTATGTTTTATTTAAAGTGACAGCGGTGAGAGTTATCATAAAAGGGCGTTTTTATATAGTCTCAAACTAATTCTGAAGTAGTGACAAATGAAGACGCAAACAAGGTTTGATTAGTAGCCGTGAGCTCACGCTCTTTTAGAAGATTGCAGCATAGCTACATATTAATCAATGGTGAGTGTGCGGATTTCGTGAAGTAAGCGGCATTTTACTGTGGAAATCGCATAATTTAATTTCGAATTTCTTGCTGGTGTGTTCATCGAATGTCAGCTCTAGAAATTACCAAACGCAACAATATTTAGTGGTAAACAAACACCTTTCGTTTCGTCATTAATGAATTGGTATCCCCGTAAGAGTTAATGCATGAAATAATCCTAACAATCATGTTTAATGATAAGCAAACACATTGTTTTAAAATTCAAATCGCAGCTATTAGCGCTAACCTATGGAGGGTCGTCTTCTCTTTCTTTGTTGTTCTTTACGTGCGCTGCGCTGTTGCATACACTGTGCGCTTTACTCTGTTAATTTGTCTTGCACATTTAGTGCATGTTTTCATTGCGGGAGATCGCGGTGATACTTCGCAGCTGGGTGCCGAAATCTCTCGCCGACCTACGTCAGCTTGATGGGGTTTCGCCAGCTACCTATTAGAGCAGCGGGCCGTAAGAATTATCATCCAGACATCGGCTCCTGCCAAGTTAGTGTAAAATCCTACCGTCGGCCCTCAAACCCTTCGGCCCTCCCACTCGAGGCACTGTAGAAACATCAATTGTTGCCACCTAACCCGTTTCAATTGATGAGCGTATTTATTTTCAGTGCTGCTATTAAATGACATTCTCAGCCCCCAAAATTGGCAGAAAGTGATCGCAAGCTACACTTGTAAAAGTGTACCAAGGCGCCTGTGTAACCAAGCCAATGAGGGGCTGCTTTGTGGGTGCGAGGGGAGCAGAGCAGCTCGGGGGCGAAGGGCCGCAGGTAGCCGGAGTCGTGGACAGGGCAGGGGGAGCGCACGGAGTAGCACTGAGCGGCGCCGCGCGGCGTGCAAGGTGCACTAAGTGGCGCTAACTCCCTCTAATTACCCGCCGCACGCTCACCGACTTCTCCCCCCCCCCCGCGCTCTCCTCTGATCGATTCCACGGCGCCGCAGGGCTTCCAAGTCGCGCGTAGGGTGCAGCCACTCCTGTTACGTTTGCAGCGCGTCTTCCGAATCAAAGCACCGCGGCTTTTTCAACTGGTGCGGGTGGTCTACACCACTAAAATTCTTTGCGGAACTGTGATCCGACACGGGTATGACGATTGAAAACAGCCGTTGGCGCCGAAAGGTTACAGACACGGGTCGTTCGTCACTACTGGCTTGCGTCGTGATAACCCAGCGCCGTACGTTCCAGTTAATTGTAGATAATATAATTAATTCGCTTTAGGCATTGCGCCATGTGGCAAATTATTCACACTTATACATCTAATACAAAATGAAGCCTTAAAATACATAAACTACTGCAATAGTATTTCATTTAAGCATGCCCACTAAATGCAGAGGCCCTTCACAGACTACTGATCTCATCTCTTTCACATCTGTTATTAGACTTTAATCTTAACCTAAAAGTCTTCATTAGTGATGCAGGCAAGGTGTTCCATGACTCGATAGTAGAATCACAGATAGGGATGTGAGATGTCGATTTTCTTTCGAGACCTACAATATGCCGTAATAACTGTAACTAAAAAACTGAGAGTTTCTTACAATGTTTAATATAAATTGTGCTAAAGTTTCATAAACGATTTGTAACTAATAGGTTTTATGTCATATTTGTTTTTTTCTCAGGTAGTAATATGAGACAGTATAGTTTTATAGAGCAAAAAACGGAAGTTATTACAAAATTTTACAAATCGGTTTTGGAGACGAACACAATAAGTAGAAATACACGCTTTAAAATAACTTAGTTTTACAATAATCATAAATGTAGACTGCACTCTCTGAACTGGTACTGTGGCCCATATTGTGCAAAAGATGTATTCAATGATCCGATATATATGCTCAACATTCTGAATGATTCTTCCATTTGTGCTTGTGCTCTCTTCTTTGACGCGTTTGTTTTTCTTGGTCTCAGAATTATAAGATTATATTTATTTTTTCTAAGAAAAATTGTCATTGGAGGAACAAGCGTTCCTGATGCACTCATACAACACAACAGCGTTTTCTGTGAACCATGTTTTTCTAAAGTTAAGATGATTTAAAAATATCCCAACCGCTTTCACTTCTACTAACAAAATAATATTTCCAGCATATGTTATTTGTTTGCTTATTTCCTATTTTTTTCTAATATGGTCGTGGCATGCAAAGTAAATGGGTTCATGCCGACTTTTCTGAATTTCCCTCCATGCTGCATTTATCTCCAATATTTTGAAAAATATACATAATCTTGCCTTTTTTCTACGGATCACCAATGATTCCCCTGTCGATCTATCGTATCCAAACCTGTACATTTTTTGTGATACTGAAAATTCGGGCGTCATATAGAAAAGAAGGCCAATTAAATAAATAAAAGGAAGAAGGTGTTTATATTTTTTTATAAAAATAAAGACCGAGTAAAATTTCTTAATAGATTGGCATGCCCAGTGCGGGCGAGAGATAATAAGTGTTATTATTATTATTAATGATTATTATTAATTATCATTATTACAATTTGATTACTATTATTACTATTATCTCCTATTATTACTATTATTACTAATTATTACTATTATTACTATTATACTATTATTATTTTATATTATTACCTTATTACTATTTTATTATACTATTATTATATACTATAATTATTATTATTATTATTACATATTATTCATACTTCATTATATTATTTATATACAAAGAAGCCGGGATAAAACCCGGCTATCAGAATACCGAACCAAAAACGAATCACAGAGTTCCGCTTTGTCTTGCTCTCTCTAATTTTGTTTTCTTTTGCATCCCTGTCACACAGGACTGCCCTTCTATTTCCCTTTCGTCTTTGGACGTATTTATAAAACTCTTTTGCCCCCTGCGTAT